CTAAATTACGCAGCCTAACCAAACATATATAAATTCTTGATGGGCAAAAATGCGCATGAAACGGAAAAATGCGCATGTTTCAGGTATCATGCGCACGCATGATACCCATCTCTAATACAAAATATTAAAAATCAAATTGAATAATGTTTATTTGATTCACGTTATGCATAATAAACTTTTATGTTTGCAAACATACAAAAATGTTGTTTATTTTAATAAAATTCGAAATTGCTACCCATCATGACAATATATCACAAATTAAAATGAATAAATTTTTGATAAAATTTTTTCTTTCCAATTAATGTTTCATACGGCGCTTTATTATTTAAAGTATTTTCGTTATAATTAACTACTGAGGTTGATAACTGTCTACTATTGTGATTTGAGCACGTTGAAGAATTAGATGATGACTTTGACTCTTTGCTTGCTTGTTGACTTGACTCTGTATAAGATAAAATTTCAGTCGGAATAATATAAAAACTGTAAAATAACTTATAATGCCTACATTTTAAATTTCATATAGTTTAGGCCTGAAACCAAAGCCTTTAGCAGCAGATTTAAATTTAACACATCTATGTACCATTCAGTTTCTGTCATGTTTTCAATATTGATACTCATAACATTTTTTTGTATATGTTTGCTAAAAAAAAAAAAAAAATACTAATTAAGTAAAGCTTATGACATAGACGCGAACAGTGTTAACATATCTATAAATTCCTTAAGCCAATTTCCTTCTTCATCACATTCAAATAGATAGTATTCTGCATTATTAAAATTATTTTTAAGCCAATCAACAATATGGGAGAGAGAGAACTAGACGAAGGACAAGAAATTGAATTATCAACTATTAAATAATATTATTCATTGAGATGTTCTGATTTCATATCATCAATCTCACAACATTCTAAATTTTGAAAAAATTCGTTTCTTAAAGTCAATTAAATATCCTTGATCAGATGTAAACTCGATCATCTATAAATTATTATTATTATTATTATGAAATATTAAAACAATATATATATATACTCACAGCTATATTTTCAATTATCTTTTGCCAGGGGTTTTCTCCGTTATTTTTAATTCTTTGATCTTTATACCCTTAATATTATATAGAATGCTAGACCAATTTCCTTGATTAAGATTCATCACGCGTAAATATAAATGAGTTATTAGTAATTATTATTACTATAATAAAGTGTATACATCTAGCAAAAAATCAAACGTTGCTAATTGAATTCTTAAGAAAATTGAATATTCAAATAAAATAAAAATACTCTTTGAATTTTCTAATGGTTGAGCTGTAAGGCTCATGACCATGAACTAAAAGGGTTGAGCTGTAAGGCTCATGACCATGAACTAACTAAAGGGGTGGTTCACTGGTTGAGCTGTAAGGCTCATGACCATGAGTTATCTAAAAAGGTGGTTTGCTGTAAGGCCCACGATCATAAACTATCTAAAGGGGCGACTTGTTGGTTGAGCTATAAGGCTCATGACCATGAGTTATCTAAAAAGGTGGTTTGCTGTAGGGCCCACGATCATAAACTATCTAAAGGGGCAGCTTGTTGGTTGAGCTGTAAGGCTCATGACCATGAACTAACTAAAGGGGTGGTTCGCTGGTTGAGCTGTAAGGCTCATGATTATGAGTTATCTAAAAGGGCAGTTTGCTGGTTGAGCTGTAAGGCTCACGATCATAAACTATCTAAAGGGGTAGCTTGTTGGTTGAGCTGTAAGGCTCATGACCATGAACTATAGCAACTTGTAAAAATTTCATCAGCTCAACAGACGTTTGCAATCAAACGAACTGACACTGACCTGTAATCGCCTAAATATGTGCTTCTTTTCAAATTCATTATTAAAATCCTTTATAGCATCTTAATAATTCACGAAAAAATTCATATGAGCAGTTAGCCAGTTGAGACTAACTACTTGCCTGTAATGGGGGCGTTCTATCAACTAGGGGTCACAATCATTCAACTTTTCTGATATCGATTATCTAGCATAGCAACATTCATTATCGTTATGATTAGTTGGATTTTATTGATCATCTCATGATTTTATTTGCTAATCACCCAATCAAATTGTGAGATATTCATTGATAATGATCGTATGATGCTGTTGGAATATAAATTAGTGTATCGTTATAAGTCACAGGTTTTTCGCTAAATTATTTCTTTTCTTTTATTATTTATTTATTTATTTATTATCTTTTATTTTTATTATTATTTAGCCTTTTCATTATTTCAATTACACTTTATATAGTTATTTGTTTGTTAGACTGCTCATACCTTTATTTACGTTTAAGAACTGTGATAATAATCCATGTAAACATTAGGGCGAGCAGTTGGGGCTAATTGCTTAAGCCATAAACATAGAGGTGAGCAGTGTGGCTTTGTACTACATGAGGCTTAACCACGATTGCTCACTAGCGAGAAGGATAAGCTTAGCGTTAAAAGGTAAATTAGCATTAGTATCGTCTTCCCCAAAGAATGAATTTTGTATAAATATGGGTCCTCATCGTTCTTCCGAAAAGAAGAAGTTACGAAATGAATAAAATAATAATAACTATAAATTACCTTTGAAATCCCCTCACCATATAAATTCACTATAATCTTCGCTAATTAAATAATCGATTCCTCACCACATTATTTGAATAACGACTATAAGCATACGCTGGGTCTCTTGGTTAACATAAAGGAAGTATGCATTGAGGCCGAATAGACCTTTCACTGAGTAATTAAGAGCCGTATTCTTAACAAGTAATATAGGAAGTAACATCACATGTAGTATATTATTTAGATAGATAATAGAATCAATCTTTAATTGAATTAGTGTCGAATATTACAATTGTGTGATCAACGTTTAGATCACGTTTAAGTTATTAGTTTTATTATACGTAGTACAATTAATAGTAACGCGCCACCGACATTACTTACCCTCATAGTAATTAGATCATTAAACCCAGTATCACGTTAACTATTGGAGCTAAACCGTGCAACGTTGTTCGCTCTCCCAACTTACAGTAGTAACAATATCGATTAAATGCTATATATCGATGCAAATCGGGCAAAAAATTTGCTGATGTAACGCTTTGAATTTCACGATAAATAAAACTAGTTTGAAGCAGGCCTTATTAAATACTCGTGCTAATCAACTTTGCCCTGAAGTAGGAAAAACATTTGTTTAACGTTTTTTTGTAATAATACTGATCATACTGATAATACAACTTCAAATATATTGCAATTCAAAATTTTCTTATGAAGAGAATTAATAATAACATAATTACATTCAAAAATTGAGTCAGAGATTCTTAATAAGTACTTTAAATGATTTAAATGGGGGTTTCAAAATTAGTGATTC